CGTATGTCTATCCCAGACAGTGGTTAAGCCTGGCTGTATGCTCAAAATGACTGACTGATTTTGGGAAGCTCGTATGCTATGGCAGATGTTATACACCTTTGGGCAAAAAAATTCCCGAAGGTTCTAATTATGAGCATTTTGTTTGAGACCAGAAATTGGACACAATGTACACATTAATTCCAATGAGAGACATTGATTGCTATTGGGTGACTGTTCAATTATGAGACCTGGCTTTGGATGAAAGATCAATACTGTAAATGTTCTACTCGACTTTAGGAGGTACTAGCAACATGATGAGTTTAACATGGATATCTTGGATAGGATAGGTGGATAGGTGACCGTGGTCCTTCAGCCTTAAACAGAACGTTTAGTCTTGTCTTGCTGTTGTCAGACAGAGGAAATATATTACTTCTGTAGTTAATCAAGAAACACCGCTGCAGGGAACATTAAGACACCGGTGATGTTTTGTTGAAGCAGAAATTTCCTATTGTGGCTGGAGAACAGGCAGGCTGACCCTGTGTAATGGCAGGACTTTTATTTTTCTTAATTCCTCCTTCCCATTGGACTGGGATCTACCTGGGCACGGTATGCAGTGAGCTCGCTCTGCGGTGACGATTCCTCCTTCCCATTGGACTGGGATCTACCTGGCTAAAGTATGCCATGGGTTTGCTGTATGGTAACGATTGGGTGGTATCTGCTTGAGCATGGTAAGCTGCAAGCCTGTGTCATGCGGTGACAGTGAGAGGGCCCACAGGTGTTGGACGTGGCAGTGTCTTCCAGTGGGATGTGGAGCGTCACCCTCGCACACGTGGCTCAGGGATTTGCTTGCATCTTTTCTGTTGAACAACCCGCTGATTGGCCTGGCATTGAGGAATGGTGGCATGACACTAGTTTTTTTTTCCGTCCACGGGGCTTCATGAAGCAGGAGCGCCACCCCCACCCTGGAGGCTGCCTCCGGCCCCGTGGGCCCCTTGCTCTCCTCTGCTCGATGCTCCATCTGCCAGACTTGGCTGTGCATTTAAGGCAGGCGGGCGAGAGTGACTCAGCTCAGGGGGCGGGGCTGGTGTGTTTGCGTGTCTTTCTGCTGCCATTAACGTCTTTGCTTCTTTGCAAAGACAGATTCTGACCAAATATCCCGTAGAGATGGTAACCCCTGAAATACCTTTTATAGAAACATTCCGACAAAGCAGATGCCTTCAGTTTATGTATAAATTTTTAAAAATACATTTTTTGATGCTTTAGGAAACTTAAGCTTCAGAACTTTATTTTCCCTCTGCTGTTTATTTTCGGTGGGGCTACAAATCCGAGAATAAATTGGAAGATCCATCAAGACCCTAAGCCTTTTGTAAATGTGTGTGGCGGTGCTGACATTGACAGAGGAGAAGAGCAGGGAGAGTGACTGACTGCTGGCACAGTCGGGGGTGGGGGGGGGGGGGGGGGATCTTGCACGGTTTTAGAAGTAGCGTTATCCTGTCGGCCCGTCAGGTATCATGTTTTGGGGACACATGAGCAGAGAGTAGGGTGCTGCTATTGTTTAGGAGTGTAACGATACACGTATTCGTACCGCAAATTTTCAGTACGGGCCTTTCGGTTCGGTATACATATATACCGAACAAATGCAGGAAATGCGGAACCTTTGTCTGTCTGTGTGTTCCCCCGAGCAGCATTCGGAAAGGGGCGGATGAAGTGGCACTGAGGCTTTCTTATGCTTTGTATTTTTTGAGACAATATTTGTGTTGCACAGTTCAAATATGAAGCTGGAGGCTGTTAATGTGAATACAGTACAGATCAGGTACAGTACATTTTTTTTATGTGCACCTTAATGGATGTTTACACGAGAGACTATTTTGCTTTACTTTTAAGCAAATTTCAGTTTTTTATTAGTAGATTGCAGCAGTATTGAGATTTATTTAATACAGTGATACTTTGTTCAGTAATCCACTGTTGAAGAAATAAAAAAGGAGCAATTTAGGTTTTGTTTCTTTTACCCTCACTGTACTGAAAACATACCGAACCATGATTTTTGTACCGTTACAAAATTTTTTATTGATTTACTTGGATCCCTCCACCTTCTAGTGAGGTAAACTAAGATTATTTAATCTAACTTGGAATTTGTGGATTGGTCTTTATTTCCTCCCGGCCGTTCTTCTGGAGCCTTAATAAAGTAGCACCAACTTTGCCTTCTTAGATTCTGGGGGGTGGTGCCCCCTCGTCCGTCTGTTACTTTAGTGCCAGTGGCTGTTACCTTAGGAGCTGCAGCTTTGGAAAGTTGAGAGAATAATCTAGTGCAGACTCATCTTCTGGCACAGCCTTCCGGGTGAGTCCGTATAATGCGAGCTTTGTCTTCTTTTAGGCCCTGTTATCACTGAGGTTAAGTACAACCCAGCTGGGAGCCGGGCGAGGGTTAACAGTCATTCTTGCAGTGGTGTGCAGGCCTTCCCCAACATGGGTCATTTCCTGTCGCTTTTGCCATATGTGCACCTGGTGTCTGTGCTCTGAATAAACGGGAACAGTACCCAGAATTCGCTCATTCACCTCCCTGCTTTGAGTAGGTAGTCTGGCTAGGGAGAGCATACCTATGTAATGCTGCCCAGTAATTGCATCTGTAATTGCTGTGACTGTGCATAATGCTATAATCCAGTGACTCCAACCCAGGTACAGATGAGGCTCCACCTGCCATGCCCCTCACGTGGTGCTGAAGCTAATGATGGGCAAATGAAGCTTCGTGAACCATTTGCTGTATTTTCTGACTCCACTAGATGGTGCTCTTGGTTTGCATTGGGACATGCTCTGAGCCCTTTTCTGAACAGAGAGCACCATCTAGTGAAGCCAGAAAATACAGCAAATGGTTCAAGAAGCTTAATTTGGTCATCACTAACTGAAGCCTTAGTGTGTACTCTAACCCTAACGCTTTGGCTTGCATTTATAGGAATATTTCTGGCATCTGATTTTGTTTTTTCTTCCCCAGTCCTGGATATTTTTTTGGGGGGGGGGGTTAAAACCAGATTGCTGATGATGGAGGGAGGGCTGACTGCTCGTGAGTGGGGACAGAGGTCTAGTGACCCCTCCCACCCCACCCCACCATGGGCCTGGATCCATGGGGTATTGAGTGATCGGTTTCATTTTAAGAATGACTTTCAAAAAGCACTATCTCATTAGCTGATGGCTCCTGCTGTGTCTTGACCCAGTAGTAATAGGAGAAGCTACACTTTTCCAATCTTCATAGCAGATGGTGATTAAGGCTTGTGTTTTATTCATTTACTTTAAGCTATTAGGGTTATGAAACTCAGATGGTCTTACTGTGTTGAGAGTGATGCTTTATCTAGCTGAGTGTATTTGCATCCATGATTCTACCTCAAGCTTTAAATCATTCCTGCTGAAAAGCCAGTCACTGAATGCAGGGGATGTTGAATTAGATGTATTTTAAGCAGCCGTTAAAGGGGTTCTGTGACCGTTGTATCTTTTCATGTCATCCAGTATGAGGAGTGAATTATTTGGACCCCCTCATCTTGGATTCATATGCCCTTTTCCCCATGTTGAGCCGTCCCTGGTCCCTCTGGGAGTTTTCACACTAATCCCAGCCTTTTGAGCATGATAAGTATAACCCCCCCCCCCCCCCCTTGCGGCACGGCACTGGCAGAAGCTGCCTCTTCCACATGACAGGTGGCTGCGGGGGTGCCAGGATCTGTCTTCGCCCGACAGCTCGGCGTGAATCCGCTCCCCTATGCTGGGTGGCACCCACCCCTGTGCTTCAGGAAGCTGGCTGCTGTCCCTGGTACGGTGTACCTGTCCCTTACCCTTTACACAAGCCAGTTGTGCTCCAGCTTTGGGAGAAGGGAGCATCTGGTATACCGAACGGAATTCACCAGAAATGTCACGTACCTTCCGGTCGACGCCAAATGCTACGTATCCGTCGCTACACCCTAATGATCTATTTGTGTTTTGTTCTTGCTGTATGTGTGCGGTTCCCCCACAGCCTAGTGGCTGCACCCCAGTCAGTGCCGGCTGGATATGCAGGCTTGGATTTCCTTGCCAGCCGGGTGCCGGGGGGTTCCGTCGTCGCTCCTGTCCTCAGTTTCCTTCCTGGCATTCGGAGCCGGTGATACTTACCGCTGTCAGCACCGGCTGTGTCGTGATGCAGACGGACGCTGCACCTTCAGCTCAAGGAGAACAACGATTCATTCAGTGGTTTACGATGATTCGTTAATAAAGCAGAGAAACTGTCAATCTGTTACTCTGGGGATCTTTTAGGCACCTCCTATTTATATTCTAGAATATAAGGCTTTTATTTTGGTGAACTGTGTGTGTAGCATGCTGATTCCATCAGATGGCACCTGGGGGGTTGGGATGTTGCGTGGCTTTGAACGTCCTAATGCTGAATGGCAGCCTGGGGGTGGGGGGGGGCGGGTTATGCACCTCTGGTGTCCTGCCTGTTGCCATGGCAGCAGCTCTTGACAGTCTCGCGCTTTGTCCCATCAGCTGCGCAGCTGTGGCTTTTTAACGCGCGGGTTAGAGCGACTCGCAGGGCCGACGCCGCAGCCTCCGGTCCGTTTAACCTTCGGAATGCAGATGGGGGAGTGTCTGCATGGGGCTCTGCATCCGCTCGCATGTGGGCAGCAGCAGAACCGGCCAGGGCGGCCTTGCCCTGGGTGGGAAGAGGATGTTGTTCTAAGGTTGCAATGATTTAATTCAGGGCATAGTGAGTCTAGTATCACTCCAACTGGTTTAAGTGTCTGAGTGGATTTCCAGCAATGGAGGAGCCTGTGATGGTCTAGAATCCATCTTCTCACAACTTCCTCCTTCGTGTTGTATTTTCATTTCTGGTCTGTTTGCTGTTTAAATCATGTGTATTCATAGTTTGGTGTGTGTGTGTAGGTGTGTTTTTTTTTTTTCTTTCTTTTTTTGCTCGTTGTATTCAGCTTGGAGGGTCTGAGGGACTAGTTTACCGTGTGGGAGGAGCTGGCCGTAGCTTTAATCTCATGTTTTTTTTTCTGGAACAGACATGGTGGCCTCACAAATGAACTGGTGAATCGAGGAGGCGACTGACCTCACATGCACTGGCGTTACAGAGAAGCACATCTGCATGTGTTTTGTGAGACATCTTTAACCTGAACAGCTCTGTAAGTGCTCTTTTTTTATGTTTGCATGTCACATTTCTGCCATAGCTCTTGCTCTTTAGATCCGATTCTCCATTGGAACTTGAACCTAAAGTCTTTTAGTGAAGTATATTTGAATAAGTTTGCAGAAGTAGCATGCAAATCGCTTCTTCCGCTGCTCCCTCTTCCACCTCTGCCATGGTCCTGCTCAGCCCCTCTGTATGATGACTTCACCACTATGGCCAGTGAACCTCTTGAAGGCTTCCATGAAGTGAACTTGGCCTCACCCACCACCCCCGACGTGCACGGCCTCTCCGAGTCCCGCAGTCCCGGGCATAGTTCCTTGCCCAGCACCCTGTACCGCACTCCTGCCCTCAGCTCTGGTCCCTGCCCGCCCAGCGCCCTCTGTGCGGACCAGCTTCCCACCCAGCCTGTCTACTCCGCCCCCAGGCCCCGGAGCAGTGAGGAGGCCCACAATGGAAGGTGGGTAATCCTGGGTACAGAGACGTGCATGGCTGGGTATGTTGGGTTACTGAGGAAACATTAGCCGTGAGCTAATGCTAAACACTAAAACTGACAATTATTGGGTCGCATTATTAGTAACGCTGACGGAGTATATAACTGCATAAGGGTGTGTTAGAGAGTTTGTTAGCTGTGTACTAATGCCAAATGCTAAAACAATGGATCATATAGGTGCCCAAGAGTATGTTAGAGCTAGTGTGAAGGCTGTGTAGTAATGCTAAATGCTAAAAACAATGCTAATGGACCAAATAATTGCCTAAGGGACAAACTAGCTGGTGGCTAGTGGCTATGCTTTTTGGTCTTGGTCACCGTCAGCTGCAAAGGAGTATAACAATGGTTCATGGTAGCTTTGTTTTAATTTGCATGACTATTGTGTGTGCTTCCCTCCCCCCAGCATTCCAGGATCAGAGGCCCAGCCCTCTGCCTCTGGCCCCGCCTCTTCGGCAGGCTTCGTCAGAGTGGAGGCAGAGTCTGCCGAGGGTGGGGTCTCGAGCAGCGAGGAAGGAGAGGAGACTCACGGCCTGTCACACCTCAGGAGCCCCTCCGTGATGGAAGTAAGAGAGAAAGGGTATGGGAGGTTGAAGGAGGAGCTTTCCAGAGCGCAGAGGGTAAGGCTCCGCCCACCAGGACGCCTGCCTGTGGTGCTGTGCTGTCTGTCTGGCGTGTAAAGCGTTTACTCTCCACCGATCACGCAGCACGTGCAGCTTTTCATTGGTCAATGCACTTTTGGCACTGAAATCCATAATATTACCCCCCCTCCCACCACCACCTAATTAAATTTGAGGAACGTTCCCCCTCCCCCACTTGGTGTTTCTTAGATACATTTGGACAGTGAATTATGCATGGGGAAATGTTAACCGCTGTGAAGCTCACAAAGGCACCCCCATACCCCAGATTAATTTCCCTGTCACCCAAGCTGTGTTTATCCGCGGCCTGCATTTTGCCACCCCCCAGCCTGCCCGGTTCCTCCGTACAGGACCAGGTCCCTCAGCGGATAGATCAGCAGGATTCTGGATGGGTGGCAGGAGGGTTAGGCAGGCAGGACGTAGGAGCCCTTGGGTCTCCTCCGATATGATGGAAACACCCCCCCCCCGGACCCCCCCCCCCCCCCCCCCCCCCCGGGCCGTGCCAGGGAAATCAGCTGGGGACCGGTAGGTTGTCAGGGTGACGGGCCTGTTATATCTTTGTGGACCCTGCTGTCAATTATGCGGTAATGTCACAGTGACCTTTCCGGTGAGGGGGCAACCGCTGAATGCACGCTTATGTGCATTTTAAATGGAGCTGGGGGTTGGAATGTACTGAGGGAGGCTCGGATGATCCTGTCACCCCCCCCCTTGATGGCGTGAATGGTGACCTCCGTTTCACCCCACACACATCTGCCACCTCCCACCCCTCCTTACATAAAATCTATATTTATTAGTTTATCGGCCTTGGCTGTAATAAACGCCTGGCAGCACCATACCTGCAGGACAGTGGCACCATACCTGCAGGACAGTGCGTCGCGCGCTGTGAGCGTCCTCCTGCTTAGTGTGTTAAGTGATCGGTCACAGGAGAGGAAGGGTGAGTGTGTCGTTTGTGTGCTGAAATGACCCGCAGTGCTCAGTTAAACATGCTCCTCCCAGCAATATGTGGGAGAAGAGCTTTCACAAGGCCTGTGGATCATCCAAGCTTTTTCACTATCATCAAGTGTGTGAAAAGTGTAAATATATGTAATTTTTTCCCTCCCTTCATTGGTCCTCGTTGTGACACATTCAGTGTTTGGCTAGGAACACCCTTACCCAGATAATTCCTGTTCTGGGCTTTGTTTTGCTTTATATATCTTATTTTGAACAAAATCCTCTTGTAACGCTTCATGTTAGTTCTGCTGTGCTGTACACAGCCTCTGGCCTGTCAGAATCGAGCAGGATGGCAGTTTTCTCCCCTGTGTCTCCCAGCAATGAACCTCGAATCCAGGACGCTGGCTTGACCTTTTTCTCAACTCTGTGTGTGTGCGTGTGTGTGTGTGTGTGTGTGTGTGTGTGTGATGTATCTCTGCTAAGATGACTGCAAAGTAACAGATATGGACACACCTTCCACCTAAAACTTAACAGCCCTATCTGCTTCATCTTATGCCAAGGTGGCTGAGATTATGTAAATCTATTATGTAAAAAAATCTATAGTGAAGTATCAACCTAAAGGACAGAGAATGTTTCCCTGTAGTACCTGGCCCTGTAAGGCCTGGGATTGTGGAGGACCCAGCTCTCCTGCTGAACCTGGAGTTCTGGACTGGAGCTGAGGTCCTGATCCATGGGAGGGAATGACTTTGCTGCCCGTGGCTGTGCCTGTACCATGCGTTTTCTGTCCCAACCCTCCCCCCCCAGTGATCATTGATCGTGGGAGGAAGGTGTTATGTGAATGACAGTGAGGACAGAACACGTCTGTTGCACACATGTCTATTTTCATTTCATTATTTTCTCTTGAAGGTCCAATTAGTCATAAATATTCTTTGATGTTTTTCTGAATTTAATACTGGTATCAGTCTGGTGAGCAGCTCAGAGGAATTGATGTGCTTTATAATTTGGAGACAGTCTGGTTTGTACGTGACCCTGGAAAAGCGGCCACTCAGGTAATTGGTCGTCAATCCACCCTCATCCCTGTCATAACAGGCCCCCTGAACCATGTGAGCAGCGAGCTTTTGCTGACAGTTTCATTCACTGCTATCTCTTTACCCAGAGCCTGTTTTTGTAGTGTCATCCCTGTTACTATAGTGATGGTCCCACACAGGGCAGCGCCCTCTGATTGGCCGTCAGGCATGCGGGCTGACTGCCTCTTGCCTTCCGTTGCTTTGAAGGCCTGGTTTTCACTTGCTGACTGGCGAGAAACGGCGGGAAGGATTTCGATCTGGCCTGAGCCGTAAACAGCATGACTCTCACTTTGCCTGACTCACCACATGTGTACCCCCCCCCCCCCCCGTCCTTTAACCTTCTTTGCCTTTGAGCAGCCATTCATATGATGGAGTGAGTTTAATCAGAAACTGTCAGACGAGTATTAAAATAAATGAAACCTCTTTTTTTTTTTTAGTGGTTGCCGCAGTTAGTGTGCTGCGATGACTGGAGGGCGTGCGATCTGGGTGCGACCCCCATCTGTGCCGCCTTAACTGGCGTTGCTTTTCACAGCCCCTCCCTCACCGCCCCTGTGGGCGCGGCCTGGAGCTGAAGAACGCATGCGGTTTGCCGGGACGGCAGCAGGGGGACACTTGTGACCCCATGGGCTGCCGTGCGTAACATCGGTATGTGGCTCTGCAGGTTACAACCCGGCGCCTGTGATCGGAGGGTTGCCTGTTCAAATCCCAGCTTCCCGCCCAGCCTGTCTACTCCGCCCCCAGGCCCCGGAGCAGTGAGGAGGCCCACAATGGGTGATATCACCCATTGCTCTCAAAAAAAAAAAAAAAAAAGTAAATATGTCACTTTCGATAAAAGCATCTGCTAAATTAACGTAGCATGTTGAGGCACACAAGGGCCACTCAGAGTGGCGGGGGAATATAATGGCTTATGGTCATGTGGAAATGCTATTAAATATTCATATTGTGTCCCCCCCCCCCCACGCCCCATGTCCTAGTGGGTTCGAGGTGTACGGGTGCCTTTGCAGGGGTCACTCTGGAGCCATTAGCCGTGCGCGGTCCCTGAGAGGGGGGGTGACCGAGCGTCTCCTGGTGTCCCATGCTGTCCCCCTCCCCGGATATAAACGCCCCCACCATTCTTCACTGAGGGCTCTCGTTTTCCCAGTGTGCATAGCAGCCGCATATGCCATCCCTATTCAACCATATCTAATAACAGAAAGATCACTAGATTAATAATCGCAGCTGCTCATTGATAATATTTATGCAAACAGGACTGCACCGATTAGCGTGGTGTGGGGGGGGGGTGTCATCGTCCACCATCTGTGTTGAGTACTTTAGGTACTGAGGAGACCAGTTAGAATAATTTGCTCTGTATTCGTTATTAATGTGTTTTATGGTCTAGCCTTTGGCTTATCGTGCCGAGTTTGCAGTACCTCAGCACTCTGTGTGATCTCCCGTGCTGTTCATCCTCTGAATGATGAGTGTGCAAGATGACGACTGTTTCGAACCCGCCGCTGCCGCCACCGTTGCCTAATGCTTGGTCCCCCACTCACCCCCGGAGCTTGAGGCCAGCATGGTGTCAGTGAACCCCAGCCGGTTTGTTTGTGTGCTGGATGGAAAGGGCCGGAACTTTTCCCACCCAATACCCCGTGCTGTACAGCTTTTAAGTTTCCTTTTTCATTATTACCCAACAAATAAGGCACTTTATTTTTGTTTTTTTTTTTTTTGTTTTTGTTTGTTTCATTTTATTTTGAAGGAACTTAAGTTAAAAGACGAAGAATGTGAAAGGCTATCTAAAGTAAGGGACCAGCTTGGGCAAGAACTGGAAGAGCTCACAGCTAGCCTGTTTGAGGTTTGTTCTGGATTCTCCATCGACCTGAGCCCCAGAGTGACCTCTACTCGAGCACTTAGAGGCTGGACTCTTTGAGACGCATGGAGCTACGCGACTGGTTTCAGCACATCTGACCTCAGCTCACCGGACACACACAAAACTATCAGCAGGGGGGGCAGAAACAACAGGACAGAGCTTCCAGCATCGTTGTTATAAATAACGACAGGCACATGCACTAAGTGGTAAGGATCTGGACCTGTGGTTATAAGGCCTGGCAGTCCAAGACCCAGGGAAGGTGGTGCTTCACATATTGGGTTAGTTCACCTCTGCATGCTTTTAGCTGCATTATTTGTAAAGGTATTTACATTTGCAGTAGGCAAGTCAAACAACAATTGCCTGCTAAAAATCGCCTGTCACCATTCCTATCCATAAAAGATTGAGCTGTGCTCCTGGGTTATTAGTATGAAACTGACACCAGTCTGCTTCAATTTAAAGGCCTTGAACCGTCATCTCATAACACCATTGGGTTCCGTCCAGATCCTAGATGTGCTAAATCAGTCTTTTAGCTCTCTGTCGTTTGTTTTTTCTTTTTCTTTTTAAGTCCCTAGTTTTCTCTGTGATGGAAAATGTTTGGCTTTTTATCCCCTGCTCCCTTTTCCTAGCTTAACATTTTCCCTCCTCCTCTATCCCCTGTGTTTTCAAAGCTCCTGTCTTTAGAGGCACTAACTAACATGCTTTCCTGGGGGTCTGCTGTGAGGTGGGCTTGGCTTGGGGTTCTGCCATGTAGGCTTTGGGCTGCTGTGTTCTGGGTTGGGGCACTGGGGGATGTGGAGGGTCTCAACTGTTGTGCCGCCCCTTCCCCTTTCCTCTCAGGAGGCTCACAAGATGGTGCGGGAGGCCAACGTGAAGCAGGCGACAGCAGAGAAGCAGCTGAAGGAGGCCTTGGGGAAGGTGAGCGAGAGTCTTGTCGACCATCTTGGGAAAGGCCTGTGCAGGATTGGCAGCCATCTTGGGAAGGACCTGTGCAGGAGTGGCAGCCATCTTATGCTGCATTCGATTATTCCTGCGTTCAATTATCTCTCAGAACTTGGAAATTCCTCTGTTTTCATCACATTTTCGTGAAATTTGTGTCCGACATACAACTCTGAGAGGTATAATCGAACGCAGGATTAGGAAGGGCCCATGTGGGATTGTCAGCCATCTTGGGAAGGGCCCTTATGGGATTGGCAGCCATCTTGGTAAGGGCTGCTGCAGGATCATTTACACACAGTTGTGCATTAATAATGGCGAGTACTCCATGTGTCCCAGACTGACTGGAAGGCACCCTGTACATATCTGTGTGTAGGTCTGCCCCCGAAATGGGATGGGGCAGCATTTTCGGTTGTTAGTAGCACCTGTGCTATAGGAGTCCCAGGCATCCCAGTAATGAGTGACTGGTGTGTGGTACACCAGAGTGGGGGGGGGTCTCTGACACAGACCATCATGATTTCAACAGGAAAAACATTCAAAGAAAAATAGCGATCTCACCTGCCCTCTGACCTTGTGTTAATGACTGTTCTGTCAGCTACACTTGGTGAGGATGATGCTATGCGACCCCATCCACACCACAGTTTGCTGACTAACAGCAAACACATGGGGCCTGTATCACTAAGCCAGATTTCTTGCTTAGCCTCTTAGCTTATTGGATTTTCGTTCACTTTTAGCCCAGACTTCCTTAAATCCAACAAGTTATCTGGCTAAGCAGGAAATCCAGCTTCGTGTTGGCGGCCCCTTGCATTTTTCTGTGAGTGTCTTTATGGCTGTGATCGTGGTGGTCTTTACCTATTCAAGAGGCCGTTTGGTCATAATCAGTGCAGCACTGAATTGTGAGTTTTAATTTCAGTTTGTTATTAAAAGCACAGTTGTCACAGGATGTGTGTTGCTGCTTTGTTGACTGTGAGGAGCAGCATGGATGTGTGTTGCTGCTTTGTTGACTGTGAGGAGCAGCATGGATGTGTGTTGCTG